GGTTTCTCAATACGTTCTGAGGAAGTATCAGGCGGGAGCCGTTGTTGTTGTATCTCGGGGGCCTGGGGCGCAGTTTGACGCTCAAGGTTGTCTCTCATAAGCACCAGGCTGCAAGCCCCAGGAAGGGCATGTCAATTGAAAAATACAATGTGCACCGGGTAGAAATGTGTTTCCGAAGTGAGAGCTCAACAACAACAGCAACAACAGCAACAGCAACAACATCAGCAGCAACAGCAGCAACACTTATTTCAAGACTGATCGTTCTTATTTGCTCGAGTGTCATTCAGCGTGAATTTCCCGAACCCTCGATACCCGCCCTCTTCGTCTTCGTTTTCGATCCTACCACTTTTGGTGGGTGTATATTTCGTCGTGAGCTCTGCATGACTGGCCGGGAAGTTACCCAGCGAGAGGGCGGTCCCCAGCGAACGCGCGGTTCCTGAATAGCAAGAGCGCGGCACCTGAGTAAATTGCGAGGAGATCTCAGGCGGGAGCGCGATTCTTGAGTACAGCAGGACCGAGGTATAAGATCGAGGTCGGCTCGGGGAGGGTACCCTGATCTTCTTCGTGTTTGTTGGATGTTATTGTGCATCCTGGGGCAGGGCACCCTCGAATGTGCTTCAGTTTGGGCTGGCGGAGGGTCCCATGTTCTTGAGGGGTGTTCTTCTGGCCTAGGTCCGACTGCAAATCGCGAGGAAGTCTCCAGCGGGAGCGGGGGGCTGGAGCTCAGTTCGATGAAGCATCCAGCGGGAGCCGTTGTTGTGGTAAACCGGAGGCCAGGGGCACAGCTTGAGGAGGATGATTTTCCCTGATAGAAAACAGTGTGCGAGCGCCGGGAGGGGCACTTCAATTGAAAATTACAGTGTGCACCGGAGGGGGGGGATCAACATGAATTATCATTCACCAGTTAGGGTTCAACAACGACGACGACGACGACGACGACGACGACGACGACGACAACAGCAACAACAACAACAACAGCAGCAACAACAACAGGAAAATCAACACCAACATTCATGTGCATACATTGTGGGAAAGTCCCGGCGAGAGCGCAATTTGGAAATAGCACGTGAGGAAGTATCAGGCGGGAGCCGTTGTTGTTGTAGTTCGGGAGCCAATTACGCAGTTTGCAATGTTCAGGGCCTCGAGCCCCAGGAGAAGAAATTGTGCCAAACATATTCAAATTTAGAAACAGTGGTTACTGGGCAGAGGGGATCAACAATACGCACTCGTTCGAAATTTATACTCAACAGCAAGAACAACAACAACAACAACAACAACAACAACAGCAACAGCAGCAAGAACAACAGCAGCATCAACCATAATAATAAAACAGTAACAACAGCAGCAGCAACAGCAGCAGCATTAACAACGGCAACAGCAACAGCAACAGCAGCAGCAACAACAACCTGAGCAACAGGAGCAGCAGCAGCAGTAGCAACAACAACAACAGCACCAGGGCAGCTGCAACAACAACAACCGCACCGCACCGCATGACACAAGGCGAGATCTGGGCATTGCAACCGCGAAGCGGTGACGCCAGCCCCCTCGGGGCCAACGGGCCCCACCGCCCATATGGGCACGCGGCGCGCGCGGATGTTGCCGCGAGAGCTTGAGCTGAGCGGCCGAAGCCACAAAGGTACAACAGCAAGCTTGCGGAACCCCCCTGCCCTCAAACCTTGGTGCATTCATGGATCATGAAAATTCTACGCGGCCTCCGAGTAATTGCGCTGGCACTTGGCGACAAATTCGAAGCGTTGCTGGCGATGGGACGCAACCGAGCCACTTGATACGGCCCAATGTTGTGGATCGGCTCGCTTCCCTACGCCAAGGACCCCCTGGTGGCGAGCGAGCCACGACAGTGGCCTTTGACAAGCGCCGCGGAACGAGGCGTAAGACGCCCTCCTTCAGGGCATCCCCTGCGGAATGCGTGGGTCCCCCTTCGGTCGCTTGGTGGAACCCAAGTCCAGGGCCGCCACCTTCAAAGCTGCAAGAGAGCCAGAGTAGGTGAGACCAAGAAAAGCGCGCCCTCTAGCGGTTCGCTTCCGCAGCACGCAAGCACCGCACAGCTCCAGCGTCTGGAATTTGCACACATAGTTCCGCACTTGTTCCACGGATGAGTTGCCCATAATTCGCTTCTGGCGCTACATGCTAACCTGAGACTTGCCCCCTCCTAAAGAGATCCAGATATCAAAGTGGTCGCGGGAGCATGACCGGGCACGATTTACGACCCGAACCTCCAACAGAAATGTTGGGCCACCATCAGAATGGTGTCGGCGAGGTCGGGCTCATCCATGTTGGCCCGCAAGAGTCGGCTCAAGTCGCGCGTCTGCTTCGCCGACGCACGGGGCCTGCATCTGTCCATATCTGCCCACCCGAGGCCATGGTAGAGCTCCTCAACCGAGTTCGGCGGCGTCATTTGGAAAATTGAGAGGCGCATTGACCAATCTCAGAAAAGAGCGCGCCCACGACAGTTATCTGACCACCGTTGGCCCGTGCCCGACAGCCATCGCGAAACCACCGAGGTCGGTTGCCGAGGTGGCGCCACGGAGCAGCGCCGACGCCGCCGCGACCCTTGCCCGCAAGCTGCATCGGGCCGGCCCACTTCGCGGCGCCCTCGTGCCAGCTCTGCAGGCGTTGGCGCACGAGGCCGTTGATGATTGCCTGCCGCGCGCCCGGGCGCAGGCTGGCAGCCCAAGGCACGCGGCGCGCACCCGTCGCCGCCGCGGCGCTTCTGCGCGGCAAAGGTGCTGCAGGTCTGCCCTGCTAATGGGTTGCCACCGCCGCCGAGAGAGAGGCACGCCGTCGCCGCGCCGGGGCCCCTCGGAGAGCCTTCCCGGGTGCTGGGGAACGCGCTGCAGCCGGCGAGCACTGCGCTGTCCCATCGCGGAGCTGGGTGCCAGGCAGCGACGGCCATGCCCCTGGCGAGCTCCTCGGCGCATCCGCCCCAGAAATCCCTGGCGCCCGCGGCGTCCCAGGCGCCGAGCTCCGCCGCCATGCGCTGCGCCGCGCCATGCCCGAACGAGTCGATTGCCGGGAGATCGAGGAAGCACGCGCGCAACGCACCCGGGATCTAGGCCACCGTTGGGCCGGCTGAGTGCCCAGCCGCCGTTGCAGCGGGAGCGCCAGATGCGGCCGCAGCGACGTCGCGGGCGTCGCTTACAGCAGAACTGCCCGACCCAGGAGCATATCGGGCGAGTTCTTGGCGCTTGCCCGATTTGGCCCGAGGAGCCATGCTGAGCCAGCGGCGACGATGCAAAGCGACGCCAACGCCCGCGGCAACGAACACATTCAGCATTCATGACGCCTCGCTGCAAGAAGTTGGCCCCAGACGAAATGCAGAGATACCCGCGCGGATATAGCCACGGGGCCCCTGGGCCATTGCCGTTGCGTGCCCCGGGGGAGGGGGCGGGGCACCGGCCCCTTCCCCCAGATCGCTTCCGACGAGGCGCGGCCGCGCGACGCCCAGGGCAGGGCGACGGGGGCGCGACGCGAAGACGACGATGGCGTCATGCTTCCTTATTCTGCACGCCACAGACCAAGGCGACGCCTCTGGCCACGCCCATGCGAATTCTGCAAGCCCACCAGCTTCCAGCTGGCCGACTGGCTTCTCAAAAGGTGTCCTCGACGGCAGGTCTGCGGGATTGTGTTTCGGAGGGACACGCCGCCGTCTCAGCGCGATCCCCTTGTCGGCAACAGAGAACGAAGCATCCGCCACGAGGGCGGACTGCTGGCTGCACCCTCGACAAGGCGCGCCAAGCGCTACTAGATTTGTCGATGTATGTCAAGATGCCCAGTTGGTCTGGCCAAGCAGGCGATTGAGGCATAACCGACCGCAAGCCGCAGACAACTGCAATGCTTGCCCACGCCCTGGGCGCGGCATTGAACCGCGCGCTGCAACCTGCGGCAGCACGCCCGGCCCCCTTGGCATCGCTGCATACAACGACCCGCGGCAGAGAGGAGCGCACAGAGGTAAGATGATACAGCTCTGAAGGTGTCCAGCGCTAGCCCCGTTTTGACAGGGATATGCCCTCCATCTGTGCAGATGTCCCACAGTGTCAGAGCTCTGGGCCCACTTGTTGCGGAAGTCCCAAGCGACAGCCCCAGTTTGAAAAGGAGCCCCATTCCACTCGCTGGCCTGTATCACAATTTGGATATCTGGGCCATCGAACTTAGTCGGAAACTGGAACATATACATTACCAGTGGCGGGCTGTTTTTCAATCCCCGGACTTTTGAGGGTCGGGGACGTCGTTGGGGTGGTGTGAGCCCTCGCCCAGCTTCCGAGCCGAGGTCCGCGCGTTTGCCACAGCTCTCCTCCGGCCTGGTGGTGCCGCTGCACGCGGCGGCACCCGCGGCGGCCAGGGGGCGGGCAGCCGAGCGGGGGTCGCAGGCCTTCTCCACCGCACCAGCCGCTGGCGTGTTGCCATGACAGCCACGACCGCTCAGCGGGTTGCCATGGCAGCCACGAGCACCCCGCCCGAGATCGCACTCCTCGTGAGCAGGAGGAGGAGGAGGAGCAGGAGGAGGAGGAGAGAAGGAGGAGGAGGAGGAGGAGGAGGAGGAGGAGGAGGAGGAGCAGCAGGGGAAGGCAACGGGAACGAGGACGAAGACGAGGACGCAGAAGAGGACCGAGGCGGGGAAGGACGACGGTTATCGATGTGGAGGAGGAAGATGACGGGGGAATGACGACGACGACGACGACGACGACGACGACGACGACGACGACGACGACGACGACGACGACGACGGCGGCGGCGGCGGCGGCGGCGGCGGCGGCGGTAACGACCACGAGGATCGCGACGACGAAGGTGAAGACGATGAAGAAGACCACAAACATGAGGGCGAGAACGTGGACGATGAAGAGGAGGAGGAGGAGGAGGACGACGACGACGACGACGTGCCTTGTCCCCCTCGTCCTCGATCCTCTTACTCGCCCTCGGTCCTCCTCACATCCTCCCCGCTCCTCCTGGGGGGAGGAGCGGCACGCGCTTTCGCTGGCCAGGTGCCCCGGTCTGGCCAGAAAGGGTACGGCCACCGGACCGAGATCAACAAGAAGACGCGCCCTCGGCTGTACCTCATCCACCTCCCCCTCGTCAACATCATCCTCATCCTTCTTGACCTTCTCTTCATCTTCCTGCTCCTCTGCACCCCTTCTCTTTGTCTTCTTCCCTCCTCTCCCCAGTCAGGATGAGGAGTTGCACGATGAGAGAGGGAGGGACGGAGTGATGAGGGGAGGAGGAGGAGGAGGAGGAGGAGAAGGGAAGAGGAGGATAGGCAAAGCCGAGTGCGGGAAGGGCGCGAATCCGATTCGCCGCCTCGAAAGGTGCGATCTTTGCGAACGACCTTTGTGGCACACTGCTGCCTTGCCATGTCGGCAGACTTCCCGACACCCCCCGGCTTCGGCACCTCGGGAGTGCGGAAGCCGAGCCACTATGGAAATCTACAGGTTTGCCCGTGTGCGTGAATTGTGGCCTGCTCGCGAGCTCCCCTCGTGGGGCTACTCGGCATGCAGAGGCTGCGGCTCGCCCAGCACACTCGCGCGCTCCCGCCTTACGACGGATCACCGCGGCATTCTGCGCCCGGCGGTACGCTGGAAAGCCCGACATCGCATTGTCCAACTGGGCGACGCAGAAAAACGGGATACTCCTCACCGACATCGACGCGCAAGCTGCCCGCGCAAGATCGCGCGCAAGCGCCCTCGTTTGCAATCTGGCGTGCCGCGCCGGCGGCCCGCGGAAGCCGCCGCGGAAGGTCGCCATGTCATCTCGCGTAAAACCCTGTTTTTTGTTTCCCCTCGCTCACAGTGCCCTGTGATCGGTGTCCGGACAGACCTGACGTGGCGGGCTTGGGCGAGGACCGAATTCGTACATGGCCGCATGTCCTTCCAGGGCTCGGCCTCCGTGCGGCTGGACCCGCCAGCCCTCCGGGGGTGTGCATTCAGCGCGTGGCCGCCAAATGCTCTACCAGTGAATTCAGCAGCCATGTGCCTTGTGACCGACACGGATCTGATGTTTGCAATCCGCGGCCCCAGAGGCCCCGACCGTATCCCCAGGGCAAGTGTTTCGTCCTGGATGCATGTTTGATGGTCCCAGGGGTCCCGAAAAGTGCCCTAGAGGGCCGACATCAGGGAATAGCTCCCGCATTGAAAAAAAACATGTCGACTGGAGGCGGTTCCAGCTTCCTGGTAGCTCGTCCAACAGCCCTGAGATCCGACTTGCGGAAAGATGCGGCATAGTGAAAATCACGACCTCAGCCATACACCCCACCTTTCTGCATGATTTTGTCCAGCCGGATCGATATGTGATAGCGACAGGGCCCGAAACGGGGCGAAAACGGCAGGTGAGGAAAAAATTGCAAACACCAGCATCTCGGAAGATGCTTCTTTCATTTTTTGATTGTTCGTATTTTCTCCTTCATTGAATTTTTTTTTTCTGACTCCTTTTTGATCTAATCGTTTTGTTTTTCTTGGTTTTTTTGTTCATTTTTTTCTGGTCCCTTTTTTTTTTTTTTATTTTCTATTAAATTTTCGTCTTCCTTTATTCATTCCTTTTGGTTTCTTCTCTTCTTTCTTTCTCTACCTCGGTTCTGGTTCTCTTCCTTTTCTTTTTCCGCTCGGTTTCACATTTATTTTCCTTCCTCTCTCCATTCCTGATTTTCATGTCTATCTCTTTTTTTTTCTGTCGTTTTTTTTGTTCTAGTTCGTTTTCCTCTTTTTCGTCGGTGTGTTTTTCGTTGTTCTCACTCTTTTCTTCTCCAATCTTTCGTCCACAGGGGCGCGATGATGGTCGCGTCTGTGGGCGGGTTGGAGTGCCATCACGTCCTGAGGCAAGGGTGCACAGGGAACTTCATGCCAAGAAACACCCTGCTTGCCTCCAGGGTGCCCTGGGTTTCTTGGGTTTCGAGGTGGTCTTGCTACTGAAAGCGTGACGCTGCCACACCAAAAATCAATGGACGTCCTGGGGGGGTCTCGGGGTTGGATCTCCTGGGGAAGGTCTCTTTGTGGCTGAGCTCCCACACTGTACTGCGAGGCACGCTCGGCCTCTCGCTCGCTCGGGCCGAGAGCTTCGACGGCTGCGCCCGAGTGCCCACGGTGCCGACGGCGAGCAGCGCCCTGGGGCCACACCGTGCAGCACGTGCTCGCCGCTCCGGCGGAGGCGGGCGCGCGAGGCCGCGACGGGCGGCTCGCGAGCCGCGACGGGCGGCGAGGCGCGGGAGAGCGGGAGCCGAGGATCTACCGCATTGGCAAGAGCGTCAAGGAGGACCCCAACAGCGCCACGACCGAGAACGACCTGACGGAGAAGGGGACCTCGGAGGCGGAGAATCACCGCCCCCCAAACCACCCCAGCCCGACCCGGAGGCCTCGATGTGCCCTCCATTTCCGGTGGGGGGGGGGGTCGGGGAACATTTGGACAAGAACACATGGAGCCCGTACCCCCCCAACCCGAAATTCGGGGCAAATTTGGGTCTTCGGGTTGGGTTGGGGTGGCCTGGCAGGTAGTCAGGAAAGATGCCGCTGCCGTTGCTCGTTCTGGAGAGCCCCCGTCGCCACGGCCGGATTATCCCCGAGACGCTGCTCAGAACGCACCCAGGGGGAGGTCCGCGGAGTGGCGGCATCGCTGTCTCTCATGTTTCCCTCAGGATCACCCCGCTGGGCGGCTTCTCCCACTACGGCGAGGTGAACGAGGACTGGGTCATGGTGCGCAGCCTAGGGTTGGCAGGGCAGGGGGGGGGAAGCTGAGATGAGGAGGAGCGAGGACGGCCGAGGGAGGGCGGGGCTTCGAGCAGGGAGGCCTGGCTTGGTCTGCTTCCAGCGAGGGCAGGTCCGAGAAGAGCAGGGGCGAAGAGAAGCAAGCGCAGTGCATACAAGGAGGGCGAAACCGACGGCACCAGAATAAGATACGCACCCCGAGCGTAAAGCACGCTTGTTGCAGGGCCGTCACGAGGCAGGGCGGAGGAGGGAGGAGCGAAGAGGGAAGATGGAGAATGGCCAGGGCAAGACGGACGACCGAGGACGAAGCATTGCAATAAGGCCGCCACGAGGATTGGCGGAGGAGGGAAGAGCGAAGAGGGAAGAGGGAGGATGGCCACGGCAAGACGGATTTCCCAGGACGAAGCATCGATGAACGGAGCACGGAGAGGGCAGAGGAGAGAAGGAGGGCGGAGCCACAGGACGGAAGGGCGAGGCGATGGAGGAGCGAGCACGAGGGGGCCGAGCGAGGGCAAAGGAGGGAGGGAGCAAGAGAAGAGGGGGAGAGGGAGGACCAAGGACGTTGCCTGGCGAGCGTATACCCTGTGCCTTTGAGGACCCACTGCCTTTTTTTCTCTTGTGCCCAGCCGTTCTCTTCTGCGCCCGCCAGGCGCGATTCGAACGCTTACAGGCCTAAGTCGGCGATTTTGTTCGCACATCACTCGGTCAATGTCCGAGCAACGTCGAAAAGGACCGAGGATGAACAAGGAAGGACGAGGAAGACGAAAAGGACGAAACGGAGGAGGAGGAGGAGGAGGAGGAGGGCGATTCGACGCCGCGCGATGCCTCCTGAATCCGATGCTCGTGCCCGTGATCCTTCTTTCCTGCTTTCCCTCCGCCCCCGCCTCTCCATCCAAGGCCTCGCCTTTGGGGAGGAGGTGGGGGAAGGCGCACTTCCGGGCCCCGAGACAGAGACGGGCCCCCAGCAGGGAGGGGTGAGTCCAGGGGCCGCGAGCGCGTACGGAAAACCATCGAGACATCGGAGGTATGATGCGGTGCGGGAATTGGTTACTCCGGATTCCATAATAAAGTAGGGGGGGTTACATTTGGCGGGGGGGTCTGATTTTAGCTGTCTTGAAGGGTTAGGGGGGGTCTGGGCAAAGTGCCGCCCTTTCATGGATGGTCTGGGGGGGTCTAAAACTTGTGGTCTGGGAGGATTGTGACCCCCTCCCTTTTATTACGAAATCTGGAGTAAGGAACGTGCACGGGAGGCTTCAGACCCTGGAGGGTTCCTTACCTGGTGAGGGCGGTGGCGACATCCACTGCCACTCCGCCCCGCGCGCCGAGCCCGCCCGGCCCCCGAGCAAGAGCCGAGGAGGCCAGGGCCAGGCGACGAGGATTAAGTCGGGCATGTCCTCTACAGGGGGATGATGTAAAAGTAGGCAAAAAGCAGTCCTGGGACGATGTTTCGATTATGTGTTTTTCCCATGTTCTGGTCTTTGTTTGACTATTTTTAATTTTTCCTCCGAAAGCCGCCTGTAGGAGGACATGCCCGACCTAAGACGAGGCCCCGATGCCCAGACATGCTCGCGTCTTCGGGCCCCTTCGGGCCCGAGAAAAAGTCGTGCGATAAGACGCGGGGAGCCCCGGGGATCCGCGACAAGGCCCGAAGAATCTGAGAATTTGGGCCCTGAGTCCCTAGGACCGAGGACCGAGGACCTCTCTACAGGAGGAATATGCAAAAAAACAGTCAAAACAACAAGTCTATGATATGTTTGATGCATTTTTGACTACTGCCAATTTTTCCTCCACAATCCGCCTGTAGGGGGGACATGCCCGACCTAGGAGGAGGGAGGAGGAGGAGGAGGAGGAGGAGGAGAAGGAGGGAGGAGCAGGAGGAGGAGGAGGAGGGGGAGGAGGGAGGAGGGAGGACTAGAGGGGGAGGAGGGAGGAGGGAGGAGGGAGGCGGGAGGAGGGAGGAGGAGGGAGGAGGGAGGAGGAGGAGGACGAGGAGGAGGAGGGGGAGGGGGTAGGAGAGAGGAGAGAGGAGGAGGAGGAGGAGAGAGGAGGAGGAGGAGGAGGAGGCGCACTGGTGCGGCCTCTCGCCGGCAGCGGGCCCCGTGGCTCCGCCGCGCCCCGTGGCGGCCGCTGCCGCTGCTGCCCCAGCATGCTTGTGTGCCGCCGCCCTCGGGCTCCAGGCGCGCGGCGCGAGGCCCCGCATCCCCAAAGAAGCGTCGGGGGTGGACAGAGCCCCCGCCCTGACACGTCGAGGAGGAGGAGGACGAGGAGGAGGAGGAGGAGGAGGAGGAGGAGGAGGAGGAGGAGGAGGAGGAGGAGGAGGAGGAGGGGGAGGGGGAGGAGGAGGAGGAGGAGGAGGAGAGGAGGAGGCGGAGGAGGGGAGGGAGGAGAGAGGAGGAGGCGGAGGAGGAGGCTGCAGCGATGCAGGGGCTTGGCAGGAGGGGGTCGATCCCCCGGAGAACCCCCTCGCATGGTGAGGCCGCGCACCGGAGCAGACGGACGCTTTTTTTATTTTTTTTTGTGTTTTTTTTTTTCTTTTTTTTTTTTTCTTTTTTTCTTTCTTCTTTATTTTTTTTTTATTTTTTTTATTTTTCTATTTTCTTTTTTTTCTTCTATTATTCTTTCTGAAGCGGGGCGGTTGGAGTGTGGGGAGAATGGCCGTTAGGTTCGCTCCTTTGGAGGGCGCCGCGGCCGTCATTTTCCAGGCCTGCACCCGCCAGGTTTCGGGGCCCGAGGTCGCTATCGCTGACCCCTGTTCTGCGAAAGGGGGGCCTGTCCATCCCCGAGAGAGACGAGACACGCTCACCGCCACGCGAGCCCTCCAGACCCAGCATCGGTTGTCCGATCCCTATCCCCACTGGGCCATGGTATCTCAGCCCCGCCAGACCTCGAAGAAGGAAAAACGCCATAAACATAAACTTTTGGCGCTCCGCGCGGATTTCCTGGATCCGCGCTGGGGCCCCCCGGCGGCGCCTCCGGCGCCGCCCCTGGCGCGCTCCGCGCGCCAGAGAGGGCGGGAGGTCCAAGAAATCCGCGCGGAGCGTCAAAAGTTTATGTTTATGGCGTTTTTTTTTCTTCTAAGACCACCCCCAAATCTCGTGGCTGGCCCCGACGCGCTGACCTCCCTCCTCGGCGCACCCGAAGGAGAGAGACAGAGAGAGAGAGAGATGGAGAGCGAGAGAGAGGGGGGGGCTACCGACTCCTTCGACCATGATTTGTTCATCATTTTGCTGGGGACAGCCCCCCGCGAAACCCGAAGAGAACAGCTCGTACCCCTGGGGGTGGGGATGGGTCAAGCGATGCTCGCAGACATGGCTCCCACCGCGGCGGCGGCCGCGCGCGCGGCGATGCTGGCCGCGCTCCTCGCAGCGCCCACCGCGGCGGTGCGGGACAGCTCCGAGAGGGCGCAGGCCGAGGGCGTCCCAAGAATCCCTCCTCCTCCTCCTCCTCCTCCTCCTCCTCCTCCTCCTCCCCTCCTCCTCCTCCTCCTCCTCCTCCTCCTCCTCCCTCCTCCTCCTCCTGCCTCCACCTCCCCCTCCTCCCTTGTCATCCTTCCTCTCTCGATCCCCACCTCGCCGTCGCGCCGGCGAACCCAGCAACGGCGGACACGTTTGTTGCCGTTGACGGGGTTGAGCCGTGGGCTGGGGTGGCCGGGCAACGGACAAACACAAAAACCGGAGTGGCCCTTCGCCAGAGTGACCTTTGGTGCTGGCCCAAAGGGGGTCGGGTGATATTTCTTGTGGGATGAGCTTGACCTCGCGTCTGGCACCCGCATCGCGTGGTTGCGCTCGCGTCTGAGCGCGCCAGGTTTGGGCCCACCCCTTGCAATCGACAGCAGCGCAGACGCGTTGCACCCTACAGCTTGCATTGGTTACCCGAGGGGGAGCCTGTCGACCAGTCGGCGCGTTTTCCGGCTCAGGACCAGTCCCGAATCCTAGCCCAAATCCCGAAACGTCTGGCTTGATTATCTTTGGATATATTTGAAAAGATGTTAATATGTTTGAGTATGTGTGAATATGTTTGAAGAACCGTGATTTCACTGCTACAAGTTATCCAAAGGCTCTCGGATGGGGCCGGTTTTGGCCATGATGCCGGGCCTGGTCACACGTCATCGCGATGCAGCCCGGCAAGGCCAGACCTCGTCGCGGTGGCCCCCGGCCGCGTCTGTTTTCGCAGCGCCTTCGAAGGGCCCTTCGGGGCGCTCGAATTCAATCGGCGGAATTTCGCGGCTGCCCGGTGGCGCAACAGAATTTTTCGAGTGGCGCCTCGCCGATCTTTGACGCGGCGTGGCAACGCCGGCTTGCGCGATTGCGTTGGGCCCCCAAGGGCGCCCGTGGAACCGCGCACCAAAGGTCACTCTAGCCTAGGGTCACTCCTACGTGTAGTCGGGCTCCACCTCCTCCTCCTCTTCCTCCTCCTCCGTAGCCGTTGTGGCTCAAGACGATTCTACCCCAGCGGTGTCACATGGACACCGATGTGCCGCGGCCAGTCGCAGTCTTCTTCCCGCCACAGTCACGGGTTTCTGGGCGCCCACTTCCATAGTCGGCCCTCATATTTCTATGTGTTGTTGCCTCCATATCCTGCGAAGTGCATAGTCGCGCGGCTGCAAGCTGTGTATCTTCGCGATGCCAGATGTTGACGACAAGCAAGGTGAGTCCTGCGGCAAAAGTGGCAAACGTCTCGACCCTTGGTACGATGCTGCTTCCAGGACGAGTTTGGAAAACACATTCGCACACATTTGATTCGAAGACCTGCTGGCTCTTCTGGCTTCGAATCTACACCAGAGCCGCTGTCCCCCCACGGGACCAATTTATTTCGAGATTGAGTGAAGAGAAAGTCTCGACCAACACACTCAAGAGCCTCGGGAGGCTTTCATCCCCCTCCTCCTCGTCCTCGACGCTACTCCTCCTCTTCCTCCTCCATTATTTGTCCTTCTACATAGCTTCCCCCTGTCGCACCCCTAGGCCCGTTTTTGGGGCGGGCTGGGCGTTTCGCCTGAGACTTCCTCACCACGTATGACCCTGAAGCTTACACAGTGACAACAGTTTCACTGATGGAGGGCGGGTAGTTTCCAAAATGTTTTCGCCTTAGCGCCGCGCATTGAGGGCGGGTGGTTTTCAAAATGTGTCTCTCGCTTTAACGCCGCGCACATTCGTTTTGAAACTTTGCAAGAGCTTCACGGATTCAGGGCGGGTGGTTTTCAAAATGTGGCTCTCGCCGTAGCGCCGCGCACATTCGTTTTCAAACTTTCCGAGAGCTTCACGGATTGAGGGCGGGTGGCTTTCAAAATGTGGTTCTCGCTTTAGCGCCGCGCACATTCGTTTTACAACTTTGCAAGACCTTCACGGATTGAAGGCGGGTGGTTTTCAAATTCTGTTTCTCGCCGTAGCGCCGCGCACAGTGGTTTTACAAAATTGCACGGTTTTCACGGATTGAGGGCGGCTCCTTTTCAAAATGCGGTTCTCGCCTAAGCGCCGCGCGCACTCGTTGTAAACAGTTTTAAGAGATCCACGGATTCCCATGATCAACGTACCAGAAGCGTTGTTCTGGAAGGGCTTAGGATTATGAGGGCGCAACATTTACGTTGATTCGCGGTGTTGAAGTCAGAGGAATGGCGTTCGGGCGCGATTGGCTCAGGATCGTCAAGACGCGAAAGTCAGTTTGACCCGTAGCGTTGGGACCCCGAGAAAAATGTTTTGGCATGCTTCAGGGTCTTCAAGCGGTTGTCTTCCAGCAAGGCAGCTCCTTCAGTGGAAATGAACCGTTCGAAGGGGCCTATGAAGAAGGAGCTTGGAGGGAGGGTTCATTCCAACATCGTTGATGACTCCTGGGTTTCCAGTGGTCTTCCTCCTCCTCCTCCTCCTGCTCCTGCTCCTGCTCCACCTCCTCCTGCTCCTCCTCCTCCTCCTCTTCCTCCTCCTCCTCGACGCTTCTCCTCTCCCTTCCTGGGCCTCCTCGTCACCACGGCTGGATTCGCTTAGAAATTCTGCCCAAAAGCACCCCACGAGAGGTCCAGAGATCGATTTTCAGCCCTCCCCGTCGACTCGTTGCGAAATAGTCAGGACGGACAGGTTTCGGTCGCTTTCTGCATCCAGGGGCCCTCGCCAGACCTCAGGACCGTCAAGAAACGACTCTGGATGAAAAGCCGTTCCCAGGGAAGGGGTCCAGACCTGTGAGGGTCGAGGTTGTGGATAAAGAGAAGAGGGGGAGAGAAAAAAAAACAAAAAAGAAAAAAAAATGACGTCGGGGGTCTGTGTCCGCGGCAGGGTCCGTCTCGATCCGATCGGTCTGACTCGATCCTCGTTCTGGCTCTCTCGGTCCAGTTCGATTCCGGTATCCCAGCGATCGGGTGCGGCCCGACGTTTGCGTGGCGTTGTTGTGCATCTTGGCGCGGCCGATTCGAGTCGATTCCGACTCCGGGCCGATACGGCCCGATTCGACGCACGCTCCGGTCCGGTCCGATTCGGACCCTTTATGCACGGTTCTGTCGGTCCGGTTGCGTCGCGGGCGGCTGCATGTCTGCCGCTCCGGTCAGTTGCCGTGTCGCCGCCGCGTCGCTGCGGCCCCGTCTGGGCAGCTTCCTGCCCGTCGGCGCCCGTCGGTCTCGGTCTCGTGGTCGGTTCCGTCGATTCCCGATCCGTGCCCTCGCCCTGGGCTGAAGCGAGGCGCCTGTCCCTCTACAGGAGGAGTGCGCAAAAATAGTCAAAGAATAGTTCAAGGGCGATTTTGTTGATCATGTCTTGACCCTGTTGGAGCATGTCTGGGGTGCTTTTAACTTTTCCTTCAACCCTGTAGGGGGGCACGCCCGACCTAACCCTGGAGGAGGAGGAGGAGGAGGAGGAGGAGGAGGAGGAGGAATGGAGGTAGGAGAGACGGAGGAGGAGGAGTGAAGGAGGAGGGGGAGGAGGGGGAGGATGAGGAGGGACGGAGGAGGAGGAGGAGGAGGAGGAGGAGGTTAATCCACCTGTAGGGGGGCGCGCCCGACCTAGCCCTGGGCGGCCTTGGCAGGGGGCCCTGGCCGCCGCGGCGCAGAACGAGACGGCAGGGGCAGCCGGGCCGAAGGAGCTCCCGAAGGCTGCCGCGGGGAGGGAGCTCCCGAAGGCTCCTCCTCCTCCTCCTCCCTCCTCACCCATCCTCCTCTCCTCCTCCTTCCTCCTCCTCCTCTCCTCACTCTCCTCCTCCTCCTCATCCCCCTCCTCCTCGCCTTCCGCCTCCTCCGCCTCCACATCCCTCCTCCTCCTTCTGCCTCCCCCCCTCTCCTCCTCCTCCTCCCTCCTCCTCCTCTCCCACTCCTCTCCCTTTCCTCCCTTCCTCCCTCATCCCTCCCCTCCTCCCCTCCCTACCTCCCTCCTCCTCCCTCCTCCCCTCCTCCCTCCTCCCCTCCCGAGGGCTGCAGCGGGGTGAGGGAGGTCGAGGCTCGAGGCGTTTGGGCGTCTTCCTCTGCCCGCGCGGGCCTCCGGAAGGCTTCTCGTCGCCCCGGCCAGGGGCGCTTCTCTCGAGAGTCGTCGTCGTCGTCGTCGCCGTCGTCGTCGTCGCCGTCGTCGTCGTCGCCGTCGTCGTCGTCGTCGTCGTCGTCGTCGCCGCCGTCGTCGTCGTCGTCGTCGTCGTTGTCGGCGTCTCTCGAGATACACAGGGGCCTCTATTATAGGCCTCCCAGATGGGGTCCGAGTGCCGTCGGGACTTCGGGATAGCATGTCGCACCGCCGGTTCTGGCCCACCACGCCTCGGCGCGACACGCTATCCTTAGGTCGGGCGTGTCCCCCTGCAGGCGGATGTTGGACGAACAAAAATAAAATACTCAGAAAAAGCTCAAAAATCATCAAGAATGATCCAAAAATCGACCCCTGACTATTTTTACTATTTTGGAATATTCCTCCTGTAGAGGGACAGGCCCGATTTAACGCTATCCACATCTCGACTTCCAGGCGTCAGCGTCCCGAGCCTTTCCCAGCCTCCCGCACCCGCGGAGCGGAGCGGAGCGGCACGCTATCCGATCGCAAGTTATAGCAAGTCACTGGGGTTAAGTCGGGCGTGTCCCTCTATTCAAAAATTGACAAAAAATAGTTTGGAGACGTTTTTTTTTGTAAGAATCGTTGCTTGATCATTTTGGGACGTTATTTGGCTATTGTTCATTTTTCGTCCAAAATCCGCCTGTAGGGGGACATGCCCGACCTGACGCTAGGGCCGCCGCCGCATCGCCGATGATCAGCGATGCTGCTCGATGCGGGTCCGATGTTCTCCACGCCGACGCATCGCCGATGCATCACCGATGCGTCGGTGATGCATCGGCGAGGCGGCGCGATCCTCCGACCCCCTCTGCTCCGACCCCATCGGGGAGGCCTCTATTTTCTCAGATGGGTCGCCATGAAGAGAAGGAGGAGGAGGAGGAGGAGGAGGAGGAGGAGGAGGAGGAGGAGGAGGAGGAGGAGGAGGAGGAGGAGAGGAGAGGGAGGAGGGAGAAGGGAGGAGGGAGGAGGGAGTGAGAGAGGAGGAGGAGGAGAGGAGGGAGGAGGAGGAGGAGGAGGTGAGGGAGGGAGGGAGGGAGGGGAGGGATGGGAAAAGGATCTTGACCCCAAGGCTGCTCACCGCACTCGGCCTCCCGGGGCCCTCGCCTGGCCCGGGGTGCGGCAAGTGAGCGGCTCGGGGTGAAGATCGGGGGCGGCCAGGAGGAGGGTGATGACTAAGCGGGGGGGGCGGGGGGAATATCATGGCGCGGGGGCCACGATATCTCCCCAGATGTTATGGCGCCTCTTCTTGTTTCTGTGCGTCCCCGATCCCCAGATTTTATGGCGCCTCTTCTTGGCTCATGGCGTCCCCGGCCCCCTCCCTGGGGCCCGCGCACCTGCCGCCGGCCAGGCTTTGCGCCCCCCCCCCCCTCTTGGACGCCCCCCTCTCCTGGGCGCCCCCGAGAAGGGGTGGGTCCGAGTCGGCCAGGGTGGCGAGCCTGAGGAGCCCGCGAAGGTTGCTGCCGGGAAGGCATCGAGGTTCGGTGGTCGAGGACCGAGGCTCGAGGGCCGCGCCCTTCTCGGGCCTCGGGGGGGCGCCTCGACGCGCCGTGGGTGGAGTCGGCGGGAAGTCCTGGCCAGACCAGAGCTGCTGCTTCCCTCGCGCAATGTTTCCCTCCGTGCGCTACCTTCGCGCACCCTCGCGATCGCCCCGGGCTGGACGCGAGCGCCTTCGCAGCGCCTCCGCCGCTCCCGAACAACAGCTGGCTGTGTGCACCTGACGAGGGGTGATGTCGGACGGGGCCAGGACGCGGATAAATCCGTTCCAGTTCGTCCCGGAACGTTCTCAGAGCGTTCTCCATGCTCTCAGAGCGTGTGCCGGAGCGCTGTGAGAAGGCCGCGGCGCCCGAGACATCCTCCAGAGCCGCCGGATCTCGGAGATTCTCGATGCCCGAGTTTATCCTCGTCCTGGCTTCGTCTCATATGGGGGGGAAACGGATCCTGAGTTTCTGCCGCCGCTTGCGGCCCTCCAGGGGCCCCCTGCCCTGGCCCCGGGGGCCGTCGGAGGACGGCATGGGACGAAGAGCTGGTCCGAGGGGAATGCGCCCTGCGATTCCGGGCCAGGTTCCCGTCCGGGCCTTTCGCAATCAGGGGAGGGGAGGGGGAGGGGGAGGAGGAGGAGGAGGAGGAGGAGGAGGAGGAGGAGGAGGAGGAGGAGGAGGAGGAGGAGGAGGAGGATCGGATCGGATCGGATGCCCGCGAAAGAGCTGTAGTCAGCTTCTGCAGGGGGGTGTCGCGGCCAAGGGTGCCACAACAAGCCACGGGCCTGTTCAAATCAGGCCTATTCGATCGAGGGGTCCAGATGATGTGACCCTCAACGATAAACTCGACTGCGGAAGCACGAGCAAGAGAAAGTGACAGGGCACTCCATACATATCCTCACCCAACCGTCAACCCACCTCCTCCTCCTCATAGGCGGCGGCGGCAAGCTCGCGCGGCGCGCCTCGCCGAAGTTGGTGTTCCCGACCCATCGGGACGAATGGCACGGGAGGAGAGAGCAAGTCATGAAGCACGAGCACGCTTTTGCTGCTACTGCTGCTGCTGCTGCTGCTTGCCCTCCCTCGCACACTACAAAAAGAAAGAAAAAGCATTGCCTAGCTCGACGGCGCACAGATGACATCCGTGCTGCACAAGCCTAGACAAGGCACAAGTGTGACGAACATAAGACATAGAACAAACAACATGAAACCCTCCTCACGAGATACTCGAATCCCATCCTTCTCAAGTCAAGTACGCGTAGCAGCTCGAAACCATTGATGCAAATCGACCTGGACTAAATCCTTATTCGACGAACTCATGTCTCGAGCATGCTCGCCGAACAGGTTGATGGAAGAAATGGGGAGCTTTCTTGCATCAGCCTCTCGAGCTCTTCTCCTTCTGAGAGCTTCCGCTCGATTAGCTGCTATTATATCAAGCACCGACTGCGAGAGACAGGGGGGAGGTCTAGGGGGAGGGGCAACAGACGAAATGGACTCCTCACGTCTGTCCTGATATGGCAAAATCGGCCGAGCCTCAACAGCAGAAAGGATGGCAATCGAATGAGAGTTCTCCAAATCCTGTTCATCATTGGCAGGCTCGTCATCTCTGGTCAGGTCGAGAGCTTTCCTAATGCGTGCAATGGTCGACTTTCCTCTCGTCGACCTAGCCACGAAGAAATCAGCACCCATCTCAGGAGCTTCCGAGGAACAACGAACAGACTCAACAAAAAACTTATGTAGAGCTAGAGTCTCTGTGTGGTCTGACTCCTGAACACAAAACTCCCCAGAAGGTAACACTGCATCCAGAAGAGCCTGACCTAAGATTTTGCACATAACCTCACGATAGACTTTCTTGGGGGCTGTTCTCAAAATCTTCCTGTCGGGATCCCATCCGAGCAGAATACATCCCCAGGCCGAAAGTGTTTCCCTCTTGGACTAAAAATATGAGAACATCAATGGATCCAATTGGATCCCTTTTCGGGTGTGGGAGAGTTTCGTGGATCCTATTTCTGTGTTGCGCGGATCCAATTTCCCGTGTGTGAAAAAAACTATGGATCCATTTATTTCCCGGGAATAAATATATAATAATAATTAACATCCGGGACCCAGGGGAAATGGGATCCGCGGAACACCGCAAGTGAAGCATCATCGGAGCTGGAGATCTGCAGACAACTGCTCTGATTCTACGGGGGAGGGGGGTCTTCCCAGGATGAAGAGGGGAAGGATGAGGGAAGAGGCAAGAGGAGGTGGGAGGAGAACGGAGGGGATCGGCGCGTCACTTCCGACATGTAGGGCTCAAGAGGAAAATCTTTCGGCCTGCGTAAGTATTGTGAGCTCGGGGTCCGTGATTACACTTGCCCCCATCCAGGAGTGTTTAGCAACATGTCATGCAAAGTCCCCTAAACGTATTGCAAGGATACCTGTGGGTGCCCTGCCTGCTAGCTGTCCGAATTCGCACTGGTCAAACTCGGTATATGAGGCACACGGGGCACTGGCGAGAGCTTTGACAGGCCTAAAGCTCCAAGACGGAGCAGCTCTAGGATCCCAGGTGGGGGAAGCCGGATGCTGTCCCCATCCACATCCTCATACTTCAGCACATACCGAGAGCAACTCGATGTGTGACATGAACAGAACATTCGCGATCTGAACTTGAAGCCGCTGTCTAGGGGTGATAGCCTCTATGCCCCATGGTGCAGCCCAGGAACGCAGCGGAGGGGGGCCTCCGTCCTTCCAACGTGCTGCCGAACAAGTTTCGCACGGAGGCCCCCCTCCTATTGCCGCAACTCTACTTGCCCGAATGTGCTCACTCCATAGACTTACCGTGGCTGGCTTGCTAAGGTCGCCTGCCTCTTTGTCCATGATGATATCAATAGACAAAACTCGGAGCTCTACATTAGGAAGAATAGTTGTTAGCATTATCTCGACAGCAGCCTGGATGTCACCCTGGCGCCGCTGTCCGCAAAAGAGATTAGCAATAAACATCGTCCTACGTTTCAATCTTCGTGGAATGGGGTCTGCAAGGGCTCCAGTGTAGGCCTCACGCTCGAAGGGCCAATCCAAGAAAAGACCACGGACGGATCCAGGAGCTGCC